ATATGCATGATCAGGATCATTTGGGACGGTCCTACCTCGATAACATGAATCGATAATAGTATCCTTCACTTAAAAACGCGAAACACACTTTTTTTTAACGCTGCTTTTTGGCTAGTACCATGTAAGTTTGTCATATTCGCTTATCTCCATTACTTATTTTGATAGTTTTGCTTAGCGTGAAGGAAGCATCCGCGGTAGGGTTGAGGCCTATCGGAAGCCAGTTATGGCAAGTCACCATCAAGCGGTGGCCGGCGGATTTCATTGTTTCAGAACTATCATGGGCTTGATATCATGAAAAGGTGTCCGCGGTAGGGTTGAGGCCTATCGGAAGCCAGCTATGGCGAGTCTCTATCAAGCGGAGGCCGGCCTTGATTGAGAGATAGCTCGCTTTAGTAATTACTTGATTCATTCTGTTTAGGATGTTTCTCACAATTTTCTCACATTTTACAAGATAATGGGGCAAGTAAAAAAAAAGGAAGCTAAGAAGAACCGGCAAAATTTAAATATAGATTGGATTATGAATTCTTCCAACCCAACGCCAATTGCCTTTTTTCGTCTAACGCATCCAACGGCACGATCTCGAGCAATAGACACGTATAAAAAATGCTTTGAACTTGCTTTACGTCGTAGTGAAGGTGCAACTCTTGATAAATTGAAAGCTGTGAACAATAATGTATGCACTTGCAAATTTCTACGCCAAATATAAAATATTTTATTTAATTTCTTTTTTAAATAGGAAGAAATTATGCAACAAGACTGGGAAATTTGGCTAAAAGAAAAGAAAGCGGTATGTCTAACTATTAATATTTCAGAACTATAGATTTATTATTTTAATATCCAAATTCATGCTTTAGATCCAAGTTTGTCGAATGAACCATGATACGAATTTGCAAATTCAACAAGACTTTGCCATAACGATGAAGACAGTAAGCCATTTTATGAGTATGATTTGGACATTACAACATTGCTCAAAATATTTGATCATAGATTGCTGGTGCACCAAAAAACGTTATTGAGGAACATAATAATTTTACATCGGGAAGTCATCGCATGACAAGTGAAGAACTCGCTGAAGAAGAGGATGATGAAGATGATGAACCTTTAGTCCCAAAAAAATTGAAATTCGATGACTGTGATACTAATGAAAGTGACGATATAGAACCTCAAAGTATACATTCGGAATTAACAGGATACAGTCCAGATAATCCATTTTTTATACAGGCTAAAGATGATTCATCGGGTGAAAATGATGCATCTGACACATCCTATCATAC